CTCGTCTCTCTTGCTTCTTCATAGGAATCCAAATTTGCCACCCAAAATGCACCCAATTAGTGCAGTGGGAACTGTATTTCATTTCTATTGTCAAAAAGGTAGACAACAAAATCAGAGCTGTTCAAATGTTGGTAGCTCAGGTAAGTGGATTGCAACCATGAGGTGTTTTGGTTTGTAGCTCAGGCTTTTTTTTTTTTTCTGTTGAATTGATTCAGCAATAGCTTAGATCCTTGTTCTTTGGGCTGAGGTATAGATCCCCATTTTCCTCCTGGGCCTTTTTATAGATAATAACTCCGTTTCAATTTCTCCTAAGTTTTACTTGAATGTGTGACAAGTGTAGTTTCACTGAAGCAGTAAGATGTCACCTCTTGTCTCTTCTCCCTTAGCCAAATTATGCACAGAATCAAAAAATGGTGGGTGTCAAAACAGTGGTTAAATATGACTTTACTGTGACAACTATTTTTATTTTTCTCATTATGAATGCCATATTTTTAAGTTGTGACTACATTTTTTAATCTCACAGCAAACTACATTTCTCTCACATACCCCATAGAAATATTCATTTTTAATGGAGATAACTAGTGAGGTAAACCTGAACACATTCATATTTTGGTGTTTTTAATGCATATACTGCAGATGTTGTCTTGTCAAACGGGAGAGAATGCATATGGCAAGTCAGGGATGAGAAATCAACTAGCCTTTCCTGCAGATAATGAGATGTAAATGGTGAATGGAATATTATTATGTTGTTGTCTTCCTGGGAGAAAATTTGATAGGTTATGCCAGCAAAAAGTTCCATGAGTGATGCTTCAGTGCCTGTCCTGGTCAGTGATGGTTTCTGTTAGTAATTAGGGGCTGACTCATTGCTGTTTCTCTCAAGAGACAAATGTTTCTACAGCTAGTGGCCGAAAATTAGATGGTTTTCCAATATACCCAAGAAAGCTGCCATTTGTACTGTCCTTATAGGTGCAGGGAGATTTCACAGCATCTAAAGTGATTTGGAAAAAAAGCTTATAGTGTTGTAACTTTATTAAAAAAAAGCATGGGGGATTTTTTTGTTGTTTCTGTTTTCTGTTGGGTTGTTTGAATGTGAAATTTCTAGAGTAATGTGTAGAAAGTTGTCAATAAAAGCCCCTTTTTCTAAATATTAGTGATGACTGGGAAAGCTTTATTTGCTACAGCTGTGGATAGAAAGAAATGTGAATCTCAAAAGCATTTATTGTAAATGGCTAGGAAAAAGCCTTAGAAATATCTGGAAAATTGAAAATCATACATAACATTTCCACTATAAACCAATTATTTTAAATTATTTTAGAAAAGAGGAAAATATTTCCTTCTTTCTGAAAAATATCTAGCCAGTGGATTTCCTGCAATATGTATTTTAATAGATTTGTTATGAACAGCCATGGCAACAATAACACAGAATTGTATGATGTGATCATGAAAAGTAATGGCCCATTCAGAGGCCAAATTTTTGCATATATTAGTCAAGAATATTAAAAAATATGATCATGCTGGAAATATGAGCTGGGCAGTGTACTATATTAAGCAGAAGAAAAAGTATCAAAATAAGATTATGCACAGATTTCCTAGTTAATTGATCTGTTGCAGTGTTTCAAGTAGAATATAAAAGAAAGGATCTCTGGAGATTAATAAAAATGTATCAGCATTAGAAGTCCAATTTCTGACTGGAAAGATTTCAGAAATCATTTGAGGGGAAGGTGATAAGGTAATGTTGTTCCAGGTTCTGGAATCCTCTCAGTAACAAGATGAGGCTGCTCAGGGTCCATTGTGAGGACAGAGGCTCCTCTCCCCCTCGAGCTCATACATTGTAACCAAAATAATTCCCATGTGCTATCACAGGGGGCAACCTAATCAGTTCTCACCAGACCACAAGTGTGCTGAGTTATTGCCATGGCTGACTGATACATAATTGCACAACATCCTGGGTAGTAGAATCTGGAAGAATATTTTTTTTTTGTGCTTTGCCCATCTTGTGAAACTGAGATAGAAAGGATGTTGTTTAAAGAGGTTCAGCTATGCCTAAGGCTCTGCAGGTAATTTCAATAGAATCCTTCTCAAGATTGTAATGAACAAGTTTTTTCTAATTGATGCAATAATAAAAGAAAACCTAAACCCAGCATGTACTTAATGCCATCTTCCTGAATTTCTCCAGTAAAAAATGCAATGGCATGGGGCAGACTTTGTGTTGTTAGTCCTTGATACAAAATTTTAAAATCATATTTGTTGAATAGTTGAGAACTCATCCGAGGATGTAACCCTGATTAAATGATCAAATATTTGGCATTTCTTCAATAAGCACATGTGGCAAACAGTCTCACAGGAAATACTGAGTACTATGGAGACAACACAGCAAGTGGTTCTAATTCTCTCACTTCTGGAAGGGCTGATGCTGATTTCTCTCACAATGGCTTACCCAATTATCTGAGGACTTTAGAAGTCTTTCAGAAGTTTTGATTACAGCCAATGGCATCCTAAAGTAGGCCAGGGATAAAAGAGTATCTCACAGTTCGTGAATAATTGAGTAGGCTTCTGTATAACAATGAGGTGCCTTATGAAAGGCAAATGTTTGTTTGCTGTGTGCTCACATCTGCACCTATTTATTCATATTTATAGGTAAATTCATATGCTAATGCTTTTTCAAGCACTAAGATACAAAGTGGCATAATAAGGTAAAATGCTGCTGAAATGCAATGGAACTGTACATGTTTATACCAGTTTAAAAATTAGGTTGCAAAAAATAAAATCCAAATGCAAGGATGTATCTTGGCATAAGTACATAGAATATCAGGAGTCCTCTTTGGGCCTTTTCATTCTTCAGATCTCTCCTCTTCTTAAAGGTCTGGAAAAAACAGATGCCAATAAATTCAAGCAGTTGCAGTCTAAAGGACAAACTTGTGTTTCTCTCCTCTTGCTATTCAGTGTTCTCTAAAAGCAAAGGCTGTTCATTCCTGCAATCTGTGTGCTGAAGCCTTTGAATTCATCTCGGTTCTGAAATGTGTGCAAAGGCTGATGAGCATCCTTGAAGATAACTAGCATCAAACCCTGGTATTTGGTAGCAGTTCCCAGTAATAAGGAGGTCAAACCGTTCCTCTAGAATTTCATCAGCTTATCTGCAAAACCTCAAACTCACTTTCACACTGTCCCAAACTGATATCCAGTGAAAAAAAGACTGAAGCCATCATTTATGTGAGCCTGCTCATTTGTCACTAAAGGAAGTGCTTTGGAGTATGCATTAGATGACCTTTGATCTAGAAAATGTTCTCATCCTCACAGGGAGAGGTCTGACTCCATGACTAGGATGTATAGTTTACCTTTTTTTTTAGGAATATTTCTAATGTACTGGATCTAACTGATACTTCTCATTGCAACAAAATATGACTCTCCCATATATGCACGTATAAAAATATATTTTAAAAACCACAAACAAAGAAAGAAAACTTTCCACCAACCTTTGAAAACCTTCTGTTAATCAACACAAATTATCAGTTTCATTGTCACCAGCTGTCGAAAATTCAGGTCATGTGCAACGTGCAGATTCCATGACCATGCTAAAACCCACCACCAAGATGATGACTTTGGGTTGGTCTGGCTTTTCTAAAGAGAATTTTTTGTGGACTGTAAGACATTAAAGACATGTAACAAAAATTAGCAAACCAAGAAAACATTTGAAATTAAGATAGTTGTGTTCACCTTGATAAAGCACTTTGAAGGAAAAGACTTTCCTAAGAGGAAGAGAAATAAACTGAAACTACACATAGACTAAAAAACACCCAGGATCCCAGAAGAGCCAGAAGTATTATTAAAAGTGACACTTTTATTAAATAAATAAATATCTCCCTTTCAGACAGTTGGTACTGTTGTTTTTTAGTAAGGTCAAAATAGTGTGAATATTCTATATCTTTGTGTGTGGAGCTTTTCACACCACAAAATTGTGTTGAGCTAATATGTTTAATCAAGGAATAACTGTGGGAGAAGTGCTGTAGTTTTGGTAAAGTCAAGTTGCAACACTGCCAAGATGTTATTTGAAGAAAGTACAATCTAATAAAGATGGTTTATGATGTCCCAAAGTGTAATGTCATTTTTTTTCAGGAAATATGATATTGTCTTTGTTTTCCCTCAGGGTAGGTGAAGTAATTTCTGAGATAGAAAGCACAGTTGTACAGTTGCCACTTTACAACCTTAGTAGAAAAAGCCTAAAAGTTCTACGCTTTGCAATACATATACTGGCAGAGGATTTAATTATATACCATGTATTCTTCTAAAAGTCTTCATAATTAAACATATTGATACTGTAGTCCAATGGTAGGGTTTTAAAAGAATTCACTTACTTTCACTGATAACATTCATCTTAGATAGTGGCAACAGGATAGTGTCAGTAGTATTATGTCATAATGTGGTTAATTAAGCCTAATTATTTTAATGACACTACATTTTCTGCTTGTATTCAGTTTAGACAGCAGGCTGAGGGGAAAACTTCCTGCTCTAATTTCCTTGGGTTTTTTAATTACTTAGTTTTTTGGTAATGGGAGGCATGGTTGACCAAATTCAACAGTACTGTATTTCTTGTGCTGTGTCATTAAATTTTGTAGAATTTGTACTGAATTAAGGCTCTTCATGTATGGCCAGTGGAATCATTGAGTAATATTGGGTTTGGGACTTTTTTCAATCTATCCTTGAATTAATAACATAAAATTGCATATGGTATTGTTTATAGAGCTGTCCAAGTACTGGAGAGAAGAATGAAGTAAACTGCTGTCATAGATTATAAAAGTAGATTGATATCTAATCTCTTACTTGCATAATATAGTCTAGAGGATTATCATTAATCAGCTTCTCTTTGAACTACAAATTTTACTCTTAAGGTAAAACACTGTCATTTTAAAATATCTTCCTAAGTCAGTTTTGTAACTGAATGCATTTGTAATACTGTCTGCCTTTAAAGAAAAACTAATAGAATCCATTGATTTTGTTCACAGATTTTTAGGCGTTGTTGGTTGGTTTTCAAGAAGGCTTCCAGTAAAGGACCCAGGAGGCTAGAAAAATTTCCAGATGAGAAGGCAGCATATTTCAGGAACTTCCACAAGGTAAGTCATGCCTCTCTTGTGAACTGAAGGATTGCCTGTTTACCACTCTTCCTTGGGAAGAGTGTGTTCTTGCTATGTCTGGTTTGCAAACAATACAGTGTTAGCCTTGCTGAAAACCTAACCCTGGCAATAAAGCAGAGTAAAACATCCATAAGTCTCAGTGATGCAGGTGAGATATCACACTGGTTTTTTTCTTCCAGATGAGCACAAAACCCTCAATGTATTTGAAGCGATAGAATGATGTTTTTTTAGTTAAAGACTCATAGTTTGGAAATGTGTAAAATTGGCTACCTATTCAAATGTTCAATCAATAGTTGTTAACTAAGTATTACACAAATTCTGGAAATGCTAAATGCCTCAGTTGTTATGAGGCAAATGTGTAAGGTTCTTCCCAGAACTCAAGATTTACAAGCTGTGTCAACAAAAAGATTTTTAGCAGTAAAAAGTCAGGATTCGCTGAATGAGGTACTCCCTGCTTTCTCTGTCACTCACACTTCTGTGATGGGAAACAAGATATTGGAGCATGAGTTCTTCTTTCTGTCCCATAAGTTACTGTTATCAGCCCCCCCAAGTCTGTCAGTAGACTTCATGCTGCCTAATCCTAAAACAAGGTGGGGATCTGTGCTTGTGCTATTGCCTTCTATCAAGTCATTGTTGGCTTTGTGACACATCAATGTTAGATATTCCATTAAACCTGACAAGTTGAAACGTAAGGATGACTTAAGCAATGGCCACACAGCAAGCAGTGAAAAAGTGTGAATGCAATCCTAGATCTCTCGAAGGCAGGTGTGATGTTTTTACCATAAAACTACAAATTGCCCTTTAAGTTCCAGTAGCCAGACTGCTCTAGCATGGGTCCCCCTGTGGGGACACAAGTCCTCACAGCTAGCCATCTCCAGCATAAGTTCCTCTCTCCATGTGTCCACAGGCCAGGATCCTGCTCCAGCATGGGCTTCTGATGCAGCCACAACTCTTTTGCAAGGCTTTGGGGAAGTTTTTTGTGTTGTTTTCTTTTCATTCTTTTTTGAGCCTGTTATGCCTATAGCATACTTAATGTGTTGAAGGACTCAGAAAGACTTTATATGTTGCCTTTCAACTGTCATCGTAGAAAAAGAATATGAAATGCAGAAATTGTTTGAGAAGCTAGAAAAATAATGTTGATACCAATGTAGCTGCATATTGTAGTATTGATTGAAGAGTCACCATTTGCAAATGGAAAGGAGGGAAGTTACTCTTGCTATCTGTTTTTCCCCCTCTTTTTCTCCTCTGTGAGGATAGGAAGAAAAGATAAAGAAATGGATACTCTTTCATATTTAAAAGGATAATGTGTTTCTGGGTGCAGAGAAAGAGGAATTTTATCTCTTCATTTGTATTATAACCATTTTTCAAATAAAGCCATGAAATCATTTCTGAAGGTATATTATCACAAAATAGAAACCCAGAATCTTATTCTCTGGCTTGATTTTTTTTCCCAAGGATATTTTATTATTTCATAGTGATTGTTCTCCTCACTTGCCTCCATTCTGATAAATAAAATAGTGGTGAAGTAGATGTGCATGAGTTGTGAATAGTCAAGCGTGACTGTTGAGGGAACAGTGCAGGTTGTTACAGGATCAAATATAGTTATTTGATTGTTGGTGTTGGACAAAAATACCCTGATTTTCTTTCTTTCTTTTCTAGAGCTCTTTGGTTCATTATATTCTGAAGTTGTTCAAAATGCATATTTATCTCTAGTCAATGCAAACTATTAGCCCTGTCTTGGAATTCTCAATTTCCTTTCTCACTCACAAAATATAAAGAGGGTATATGGTATAAAAAAGTTGAAGATTAACTCTGAACACTGAGCATCAATGAAAAAAGTATTAAATATTGAAGAACTGAGACTTAGTACTTTTAAAGAAAGATTAAAATAGAAGTTGCAAGCCTGCCTCCTTATGAAAGGACAACATGCATAAAGGGACAAAAGGCTCTGTTTTATTGCTAATATTCATATAAGTCTGTATATATCAACCCTGAGATCCTTTCCCCTATACAAATTCTTTGCAAGTATTAGAAGAGGTTGGCATAGAGGGGTAGTCACACTGCACTGTTTCTCTAGCAACTTTTGTCCTTCAGACTTTCATATCTGTCTGGGTTACCCTGGGAGAAGGCCTAGGAGTAGCACCGAGTAAGATGGTATTGCGCAATTTTTTTTTTTGGCTTTTTTATGCAGAGATATAGAAGAAAAGTTTTGCATCTCAAGTGGGAATATGCCAAAAATTCATATCTTTGATTTATCTGTGTTCAAATCAATATTCAGGACAAACAGTACCCCAATATAAGTAACTCATCAAGGTCACCACTTTTCCATGTTTGAGCTTGAAATGAGGCTCAAATGAAATTCCTCTTAAAAATAATTTACCAACATAAGTATATATATATTTCCTATACTTATGTAATACACTTGTGTACTGGGCAATATGACTTATAGAAGGGACTAAACAAAGGAAAAAAAACAGAACTGGTAACACAAAGCTAAGATAATTAGAAATAGAGATTTTTCTGGTTTACATATGCTAAATAAATAGTCATTAATTAGTAAAAAAGCTGTCCTCTTAAGGAAATTGATTCCCCCATCCCCTACCCCCAAGTATCCATACTATTTATGGGTTTATTTGCTATTCTATAATTCTGTAAATTGCTGTTGTGCATTGCTTCGGTGATGGTTTTTTTTGCTAGTAATTTTCTTACTATAAATAACAGTAATGACCTTAGTCCTAGACAAGTGCCTCCTAACAGCAGCAGTGCATATTACATTCATTAGCCAAAACGTGACCTCATCTGTTCCTTGCAGTTTCTGGTATCAAATTAAAACTTCTCATTACTGTAAATTTAGACCATTGCAGTCTTGCTCAGGTAAGTTTATGGCTTTGCTGTTCTGTTTTCCCTTGAACGTTCATTGTGGAGGTTGTGCAGAACAGCTGTGTTGACTCCCATTGCTCCCTCCAAAGAGGGGACAAGATAGCAATAGCTCTGCATCCATGCCAAGGGTGTGTATGTTCTTGGTAGCCACCCCTGCATTATCAGAAGTGACCAAAAATAGACACCACAGCTTTACCAACTTAAAAGAAAGCAAAAACAAAAAAGATTTCTTACTTCTGTAATAGAAGATAAAACGTCTATAAAAAGTGAATTTTTCATGCTTTGGAGACATACTGATCAGGCCGTACCAGTGTCTGTAATCCATTTGGAGTGGCTTTCAGGAGCATTGCAGCAAATCAACATGAAGATTACTAGAAATGAGAGATCAAACGTCCAAACTTGGACTGTATCTAAATGAGCTAGGAAAAGCATTACACAGTTGGCCAATTAATTGTCAAAGCAGAATTGGAAAGAGCAAAGTAGAGCTTGAAGAGCAAGTAACCAGAATAGATTCTGACCCATCAGGATCAAAAACCTTGCCAAAGACCTCAGAGCATGAAGCAAATGTGCAAGAGAGTAGAAATGAACACTTTCACATTGGGGTTTACTGTAGAGAAAAGTGACATGCCCTGGTGTGGGTGTGTGAGGAGGGGTTCTGCAGACATATCTTTGTATTATAAACTTGATCGTGGGTACTTCAGGCCCAGCTACACAGAGAACAGTTACTCAAGAGCCCAAATGCCACTTAAGGATGATATAGCTGAATGGTAGTCCATAAATACCAAAATGGGAATCAACAGATAAGGATTCTTCCATTCCCTGTAAAATGTCCAGTTCCATTCATGCATGCTTCTTTATGCACTTATGAGCTAAATAGCCTTAATATGAAGTGAAGGTGTTGGGGGTTGGGTCTGTCCCTGACAAGATATAGCTGTCTTGGAGCAAGACAAGCTTGAATCTGTCAGTGTTAGTGTGCTTACCCTTCAAATAAATAAATAGCTGACATCTGGCATAGGGATCAAGACTTACTGATTTAATCCCTCCCAATATGAGAGATTGCTCTGTTAAGATGGTGTAAACAGCAGCTATCTGTTTTAAGGTTTTGAGTTTTAAGTTAGCAAGATTAAAGTAGGATAAGATTTTTAGATTTATGTTATTTGTTTTTCCTGTCATTATGCTCGATTATTATGTGCTTTATATAAATCTGCAAGTGCAAAAGGAAATAAATTGCAAAACATTTTAGCAACAACTTCTGATACTCAAAAATGTGTATGGGACAGATGGTGTTAAGCACATTATATAATATGTGTCCACAAAAATAGATAATAATCAAGAAAAAGAACAGCAGTAGCCTTCTAACTGTAGTTTACTGGATTAAATTTGTGACCAGGGCCACACAATGGTAGATACCCTACAATTTTATTTCATAGTTCGATTGTCCTGAAAAAACTTGTGGAATGCAATCCCAGTGATTTATGGCAAGTTCTTGTACCATCTGCAGCAGCATCTTGAACACCTCTTGGCATTGATGTCTCCTGTGTGCACGTGTGCACAAACGCACACCCAGAGAGTCCTGTTTGGTTGGGGGAAGGAGGGGACAGGTTCTCTTTGTGCAGTAACACACAGAATGCAGGAGCAATGTGATATTTATTCTTCTACAGCACAGTTCCTGGTCTCTAACTGAGATGACCTTAAATCATGAGGTGCTCATTCAGGATAAGTGACTTCCTGATAGCTTTGAAAATCACTGAATTTTGCCACAGTCGTATAGGTGCTAGCTCCCACAGTTCTCAAATGTGATTACAGCCCTGACATGAAAAATAAAAATGCTTGTATATGGTAGCTATATATATACTATAATAAGCATAAGAGCTTCTCTCTCATTGTTTCCACTTAGTTGCCTTTGGGTTGTTCTGGTTTGTTGTTTTCCTTCATGTTCTCTAGTCATTGCCAAGTTGCCTAAATAAAGATTCTTATTGCTAAAGAAATGTGAACTACTCTACTTTTACTCTAGTTTAGCCCAAGAGTTCTGCTTTGCTGTGCAGTATTTCAGATTCTTATGTTGTTCATGTTCCCTACAAAGCAGAAGTTGTGCAAGT